AAGATTTATTTTAACACAATGGAGCTATGTGTCACACCATAAATATGCATGTTGAGTTTAGAACTAGATTTATGTAGCTTGCACTGGAATTATGTAATAAATTGTATATATCTCATATCAGACAAATTAAATACTACAGTAAAGCCTCATTGCTAGTTTCTGTTTTTTAAGATTTATTAGAAATGTAGGATGACAGGCACGGACAGAGAGATCTCCAATCTATTAATTCACTCTCCAAATGGACAGGCTGACATCCAGAGCCAGGAACTCAATTCAGGTTCTGCCTGTGAGTGGAACCAACTCAAGTACTTGAACTGCCACCTGCAGCTTCTTAAGTCCTTAGTGGGAACCTCGACTGGAAGCAGGGTAACCCAGACTTGAACCAGAACTCTGATATAGAATGTGAGTGGCCCAAGTGGTCATTTAAACTCCTGTGCCACCAGACTTGTTTCACTTTTACTGTTGTTCCCATCGAGGAAATATTTGAAAGACATGGGTGTGTTAGGAATGGTGTTACACTCACTATTAACAATATGTATTACAAGGTGACAAAATCCAGTCAAAAGAATTGAAGACCTCTAGGACAATAACATTAACACACTGGAAATCCTACATACACTAAAAATCAAATATTCGATGAAAATGGATAAAGTTTTTAAATGTTCTGGAAACCTTTCTTTAAAGCAATTTTCAAAATCTGTGATTGCAAACTACCTCTGTGATTTTCCTGATTATTGTATAACTAATGTAATTAGAGAATTCTGACACCTGAAAATATACACAATCCCAACCATAACAATTCAGTGGTATAAACAGACATTTTCTGATCCAGTAAGCTTTCGTCTGAGCATCATCTAACCTTCTGCCAGACACAATGGATCACATTATTAAAACCTCCTAGTAGAGATGTTCAATAATAGGACATGGAGGTAAAAAATTTAGTTACCAAGTGAAATGCACTTGCATCAGCAGAGCATCTTACTTTTTCATCTTTTGTCCTCAGAAGCAACCCACACGCACTCTCTGTGCATATTTCAAACACTGTTTTGGTTTTTGAAACCCCAAACTTTGATTTCAAACTTAATAAGGTGCTGTTCTGAAAATACAATTTGCCTCTCATATAATCACATTTCTGTAACAACATTCCTACTAGAAAAAAAATAATCTTATCCAGCATCTATTTCACCTAGGACAATTTCAGATGAAAGTAACTGAAACAAAAAGCTTCTTTATGTTACTATTTGAGCATTCCCAGAGACATCTCTTTCCAAGAAAGTCTAGTCTTACATTTTATCGGGGCCAGAATTGATACCTACTCATCCACACCCAAACCCCGGTGAGTAGATTCTGGTGCTGGACTGACTGGAGTGAATCAGGCCTTATCACATCCCAAGGGAATTGTGGCCATTGGCACAAAGCTGAGGCTCAAACAGGTGAGCGCTCAGCACAGGGAGAACATGAACTTGGAACCAGCCTACCTGTCCCATTCACAGTCACATGTTTTGAGAAAACTATTGAACCTATTCATGCCTCCATTTCCCAACTATAGAATGGGTTGTTGAGAGGAACAAAAGGACTCTCCTTTTAACTGCATTGCAACAGCCCTGAAAGAGGTCACTGAGTTAGAGAAGCCAAACCCCAAGGTGCTCTTGACCATTTCCCGCACCCTTTTGCACCTCTTGCCTCTGTGAGTTCATAGTTCACAGTGACGCAGAGGATGCCACTTAACCATATGACAGAGCTGACGGCACTTTTGTTGAGTGTAGCCCTGAAGCTAGGCAGCCAAGGCCCAGGTCCAATGTCACTGCCGCTCTTGCTTTCTGCCTTACAGTGTGTGACACATGGCCTAGGTGCAGACAAGGTGCTGGGCACCTACGACGTTGATGTCAGTGGTTCCAGAACCAGCCCCCATCCTCATGACAATGTAATCCAAAGGTTCTCACCAGAACTTGAAGCCTGCTCACCCCACATTCAGTTCTCTGCCCCAGTAGCAACGTTCCAGTCAAAAGATCACTTCTACTTTTTTTTAATGCTTTACCATGTAAAGAGGATTTCAAAATAGCTGGAGCATTTGAGAAAGGGACATCAAAAACTTATGAATTTGTGGGAAAAAAACAGACATGAGCAGCCGTACATCTTAGCTGATTTCTCCTAAAGAGATTGTTTTTTTAAAGGATTTATTTTTTTTATTATTATTGGAAAGACAGATTTACAGAGAGAAGAAAAGACAGAAAGATCTTCCATTGCTGCTTCAATCCCCAAGGGACCATAGCTGACCTGATCTGAGCCAGGAGCCAGGAGCGTCTTCTGGGTCTCCCACATGGATGCAGGGTCCCAAGGCTTTTTGCTATCCTCTGCTGCTTTCCCAGGCCACACAAGTAGGGAGCTGGATGGGAAGAGGGGCAGCTGGTACATGAATCGGTGCTTATATGAGATCCTGGCACTTCCAAGGTGAGGCTGAGGCCACTGAGCCTTCACTGGGCTCCTAAGGAGGTTCTTAAAGCACACTGTCATGAAAGTCACATTCATTAAGCAGTGACTTTCTCAAGGGAGTTGGTGTAAAGTCAGTAGGGTTTGCCTAGTGTGTGTTTTATTGGTGTATTTCAGTCACTCATCAGTCTTGGAAATGACCACCAAGGCGGTAAGAGAAAGAGAAGTCAAAGACAACATCTGTCAGCTTGCAGCCCTAACCCCGTGCCCACCAGAGCACAGGAAGCCCTTTCTGGTGACAGATCCCACACATGCTTAGAGGACCCGTCAGGATGACAGTTGTGAAGGCCATTCTGCCAACATCAAAGATGCTGGTTCTGGCTCAGTGACCACAGACTTCACAGAGGAGCAATCAACAATATGATGATGGCTTATGATAACAGGTGTTTCTGTTGCTCTGCCTATCACAGCAGAGAAATGACTGGCAGTCCGAAGCAATTAGGTGCCTAGTAAAAACATGTTGCTTCTGTAAAGACCATGGCGCAAGGACAAGCAGTCACACAGGAGCTCACGTCTGTTTCCCTTTTTGAACACATTTCTGCTGTCAAAAGAGTAACTAGGTGACTTTGGTCCAATCTTAAAGAAGGGGAACAACTCTGATTTGATCACTCACATACAAGTCATCCATATGATGGGTATCTCAGAAGACCCTGGGATACTGTGAGGTCAAGGGCAGGATTAGGGAGTTGGGGAGAAGAGGTAGGTTTCAGAGGTGGCCTCAGATCTCCCTGCAATCTTGAAGTTCACATTCAGTGTCCCAAGGCTTTGGGCTATCTTCTGCTGCTTTCCAGTGACGGAGACGTCGGCACTGAGTTCTGTAGTATCATTTATGTGATGAAAAAGTGAAAAGGTGACACCCATCAGAGTCCCACACCCATAACCTTTGAGGAAGGAGAAAACATATTGAACTGCTACTAGGTGGGGGGGAAAGTGTGGTTGTAATTACATATCTCTAATACAAATGGCCCTATTGCGATGCCCACTTCCATTTCTATTACACCATCGAGGTTCATCAGCCTTCTGCAGTAGACAAAAACCTTGGCGTGGAAACGTGACCAACCTGGGCCTGAAGCATGGCTCTTTCCCTAGCTGTGTGACCATGAGCAAGTGAGTCCTTCCTTAGAAACTCAGTTTTTCATTAAAAAAAAAAACAGTGTGGTGAGACAAAATATCTGTATGTCAGAAGCGATCTTACTGTCATCTCCCAAGTTATGTTAAATCAATCATTCTGTCAGATCACATATGATGGATACACAATTGAGACAAAAAAATTCACTTCCTTTGTAATTATCATCTCCCTCAAGAGACATGAAGAAAGCATCATATTTTTTTTATATTCCACTTAAAAATCTCAGTTTGATGTTAAAGAGTTCCGGCAGTACAGAAAAAGACCAAAAGACGTCTGAGTAATTTCTTAATAATAATAGCTCATGTCTGGCAACCCAGTAATTTGTTAAGTTCTAGGCACTCTTCCTGTAATGGAGTATTTCACAACCACTCTGTGAGGGAAGAACTATTATTCTCCTATTTTTACACATTACAAATCGGTTGCACCATGAAGCTCAGGAACTTGAGGCAACTCTCTTGCTGGTGACAAAGACCACGCTCTATACAGGTGGTCTGACGGGCAACTCCGTGTTCTAACAGCTGGGCCACAGATGGGGCTTCTGGGGCTGGTAGTTACATTTCCTTCCTTGGTGCTATCTGTTATATATTGTATTCATATGGTTTCCTGTATCAGTGTTATTCTATTTTAAACATCTTAAATTATAACATTAGCAGCTAAAATTGGGCATGCAGTTAGCACGTTGTGCACTTTGCTGTGATAGGCACCGAATGTAGGCTGTCTGACATTGCAAGAGTACCAGTTTCCAATGTGTGTTATGGTGGTGCAGAAGCAAATGGAAAGTGCATTTTCAGTTTATGGCAGCAGGCTCTGTCATTTCCCTGACTTCACTGGCAGGAATGAAAAAATGGTAGAGGAAAGTTTTTACTTTGAATTCTGCATCCCACTCCATTTCATTCTGTACTCATCTTTCTCTTCCTGTCATCCCTTTATTTACCTGACCTACGCACATACCCTACAATTTTGTTTCTCTCTGTCTCTCCTCTTTTGTAGAACTTCTCACTGGTTATGTTAAATATTATGATGCATTGATTAGTCTTCATTAAAAATAAATTACGAGGCCCTGCGTGGTAGCCTAGTGGCTAAAGTCCTCGCCTTGCACATGCCTTGCATGCGCCTGGATCCCATAGGAGTGCTGGTCATGTCCCGGCTTCTCCACTTCCCTTCTAGCTCCCTGCTTGTGGCCTGGAAAGACGGGAGAGGATGGCCCAAATATAATCTTTTCTCCTTATATACCTCTTGCTTTTCCCCTCTACCTATCCCTAAGCCAATCAAAACTCATCACCTGGGTCCATTATGGCAACTCTAATTCCCTCTGTCTCCAGGGAGAGTCTCATCAGAACCTTGGACAGTGCCTGGGCAGCTGGTGGGGCGTGGCATGTACCTGTTGGTTTGTTCTGTTACAGTCCTTGGTCTCTCTGTCTGGTCCTGAGAACAGGATGTCTTCTTCCTGCTCCTCACTTTCTTCAGAACAGGAATCAAATACATCAGTATAATACTCTTCAGCCACAAGCGGGTCTTCTGGAATCTCTGAAAGAAAAAATAAAGGACAAATAGGTGTTACAGTCATCAACATTACCATGACATTGAAGTCCTCAGGTTCTTGCACCAGGTAAAAACAGAGAGCTAACACTTAGCATCCTGGAGGCATTAGTAAACAAGGAGCGACCTTTCCACTAGCGACCACTTTTTGAAGATACAAGAATGAGACTGTGAAATAAGGAGAAATTATTTCTTCAATGTGGAGGCATGAGTTATGACTTAAAAATAAGAGATTTGAGAGTGAACACAGGAAAAGGAGCCCAATGACATGGCACACATAAAGTTTTAACAAAAGTAAGTTGGCGTGGAACTATGTTAACATTTTTCCTGAGAGTTCCTTTTTAAATTTTAGCAGTTAGACCAGAAAAGATGGATAGGAAATATAACAGTGACATTTTGGTAAGCTTGGGGGAAATGTCACAACTGTTTTCTAACAGGCGATGAAGGGCTTTTGAAGTGAGTTCAGTCTGGTGGGTCCTTCATAGCTGGAACTCTGCATTTGAAAAAAAAAATGACTTAAGCTGATGCCAAGGAATGTGAGTTTCTGATGCCATATTATTAGTAATTAAAATAAGGTTGGTGTATATAACAATTTTCAATGAAGAGAAGCCAAGAGCAGATCAGAACAATGCATAACCATGCCAACTCTAATTCATTAATAGGAGCCTAGAAGTGGGGAATTATTCCCGGGCAGAGAAGAGGGAGTTACATAACGAAATTCCATCACGGTAAAGCAGTGGGCATTTCAGACTTTGCACCACACTCCAACTTGCAGACAAAATTATTCCTCTAAATTGTAATGTGAAGCACTGTATTTTAGCACGCTGCTGCTATTTTCTGTCTGGTGGGAAAATGTGTAATTATGGGTCACAACAATCGCTTGGCTGTAACTCTATCACCTCATAGGAGAGAATCCGAGCAAGGACATTCAACTTCCTGAGCTCCATGTTCTCCAGTAAAATCAACAAAAAGGCAATCTAGCAGGGTCCTGTGATGATTCAATAACGCAACTCTTATGAAGCCATCTGTGGGAAGAGAAGCTTCACACAAATGCTGCTCCATTTCCACACCCACAAAAAGGAGCTCTTCATGAACTGATTCCAGAATCCTTTGAAAGTAAAACATTTAATGGATGTAGAATTCCCTGGAAATAAAAGACTTTTAAATCTGTGGCTTATCTGCGGTATCCACCGAAACACAAGAGGCTGTGCAAAGGATTCAAAATTTGTTGGTTCAAAAGACAAAATTTGCATAACTTCGGAGGGTGCACACTGGGTATGGTTGGTTTTCCTGCAGTCATTTTGATGCATGATGTTTTCAGATTTCCAATTTACAAATGAGCATCAGATACATGATTTGTATATAGGAGCTATGTTTCATAAAAAACTTTATTTGACTCACATTGGAATGATAAGATCATCACAGGATGACATCAACATCTCGTGACACAGCACTGGATCAAGTCCCAGCTACTCCGCTTCTAACCTGGCTCCTCATCCCAGGGGCTGGGAGGACCAAGCTGACGGTCAGGTCCTGATAGGGGATGCTAACATATGTTGCAGGATACAGGACCAACAGCATCGCTGGAGGAACAGACTGCCAGGGCAGAGGCGACTGTGACCTTCAAAGAGGGGACTGAACTTCGTTCGCCAAGTTGACAGAAACCTCTCCCAGAGCCCAGCAGCCTTTAGTATAGCCGCTCCTGCACCATTGTAAGAAAATAATCAACTCTGAAACTTGGCTGTCTTGGAAAAGACATTTTGATGATTTCTGAACTTCAACAGGCACTGGGTTGTATTTTTCCTTTTCAATTTTGTTTTAAAAGCCTCCTCTGCCCCCACAGTGAACCATGAAATGGTATATGGGGGTTGTGCCATGAGTCATCCGCTGGGCGGGGAGCACACATCTCAGGGCAGCCAGGCTCCCAGGGGCACCTGTTCCCGTCGCTCATTGGAGCTCAGAAGTTACAGAGAGGGAAAGGGGGAGTGGAAGACCAGCGATTGCTGCCTGCCCTGGTGAGTCACCCCTATTCAAGATTGCCACAGGCCCTGGCTTTGGGGCCCCAGGGAGCCAGTACCCACGTTCCAAATGGCGGCCACATCTCTATTTCATTACAAAGAGCCTGCTTCTGGGCCCATGGGGAGCAGCTGTGATTTCTTTTCCATCACACACAGTTAGAAGGGCCACACGTCTGCAGGAGCCTATTTGCTGAGGAACATTCTCGGTGAAGTACCAAGTGGCCCCAGCCAAATGAACATCTGACGTTCCCAGGCACCCTGTGCATCTCGGAGCACTCAACCTCGCAGTCACCTCTGATCTTCCACCACCAAGATGCTGTCTCATACAGCCTGTGCACATCACACCTGATGCGCTGACCACGTCACGTACCTTGCCTCCGTGACTCCCCCACTACCAATGCAGCGAAATGCCTTACCTTGTTGGCTGAACCACACCTTCCCAGGCCTACCCTTCCCAACAGTGAATTTGTTGGCCCTCACTTCAAAACATATACTGAAAGGGACTCTGGGTAGGCCCTAGGCTGGGTTCAGGCAGTTTTTCAAGTTTTTCCAGGTGACCTTGGTCAAAACTCAATATTTTATAATCTGAACTCACTTTTGTTTTCCAATATCCTTTCTTCAAAGCCCTGTATCTTCTAGAATTGCCCTATCCAATATGGTAACCATTAGAACACAAGGCCATTTGAGTTAAAATTGTTAAGAAGAAATAAAATGGCAGATTCAGTCATACTAGCTCTATTGCGAGTGCTCAGCAGTCACCCTAGATGAGATTCTAGAAGTCCCCCCACACTGCAGAACATCCTACTGGACAGTTCTGTTTGGAGGGTCTTCACTCTGTACATGGAGCTTTCTTGGGCCACAATCTGGTTAGACTTTTGGAATCCCTGCGCTGTGGGGTCACCTCACCGCTCTGCCTCATGTTCAGCCTGTCTTCACCATCACCAAGCCCCATTGAGCAAGGAAAAAAGCAACCCTCCAAGCCCTGGACTTAGCAAGAAATAGGCAGAGTCTATCACACACTTGTCCTTGACCCCTGCAGGCCCCCGGACCACCTCCGAGAGATGACGGAATCAGACCTCTCACCTGTGAGGTCCCTGCCTTTCTATCTTCTTCTACATGACACACATGTAAACATAGCCCTTTCACAGCTGCCCAGCCCACTCTGCAGAAGGGTTAAGCTCCTGGGTCTCCCAGTACCCCACCGTGGACAGTGCCTTCTGTGACCAAGCAGACAAAGTCCACTGTGTGCAGAACAGCACTAATTGCAAGCAGAACAAACATGAAATGTGAACAGCTTGTCTGTAAGTCTTGAAAGTCGAAACAGTTGCTGGTTTTCCATCACTTCAATGCTTTCTTCTGTCACATAATAAGCTAGAGGTTAGAAATATGACCTTTTCTAAAATAAACTCCTAAAACTAGAGCTAAAATTAACTATGTTGATTAGCTTAGCCTACAGCCTCACACATGAGGCTATGAAAAGAAATAATTTTCTTAGCCAAAATGCATATTCATGACCCTTGCTGTTGCTAGGGATAAATTAAGTACAGTACAATACTTTTTTTTTTAATACAGGATAGCAGATCCTGCTGTTAAGTTTTTTTCAGAGTGACATCTCTATTTTTGATCAAATATACTAAAGGTTCTTCACTCCCCGTACACACACACACACCCCACTAGAAATAACCTTGGTGATTTCTTTTGGAAATAGATCTCTCTGAAGCTTGAGACTCTGGGCTCTTGGCTCTGTGTCAAGATGATTCTCCCTCAGGTACAACTATAACATTTCTCTGAACTTTGTGGTTGGAAGAATAAAAGCCAAAACGACTGAGTAAAATTTTTGTCTTTTCACCATTAGATTCAAATACACGAATCCAAGCCAGGAAATCTCTTGTCCTAAAGGCGAACGCAGAGAGGTTGCACAGAGACCCCGAGAGAGCTGGGAAGAACAGCTGGACATCGGCTGGTGTCAGAACACACCTGCTTCTGCTTAGGTCACTGATTTGAGTGCCTTCAGCCTCACGCAGTTTATCTGTGAAGTGGGGATAATAACTCCTCAAAATAAAACGCACTCTAAAATACATGCTTTCAGGTTACCTTCATGCTCTAGGACTTAGAATTTTATGACTTTGAGTAATAGATTTGACCAGTGTCTTGGTCATTGCATGTTATATTACAAAATACCACAGACCGAAGGGCTTAAATAGCAGAAATGTATGCCTCATGGTTCCAGAAGCTGGGAAACCATGGTCGAGGGGCTGCAAGAGCTGGGGCCTGGGGAGGGCTTGCAAAACACTACCCTCTTACAGTATCCTCCCCTGGCGAGAACGAAGAGGCAGAAGGAGTTTCCTCACGTCTCCACTGACTCGGGCACCGGCACCACAACAAGCCCCCCCGATTCCTTCCCCTGATACGAGCCTATGGGGGTGAGTGTTTCAACTTACGGGAGATAGAATGAGCAAGCAGACCGTCACAGTCAGTTCAGTAACGGGCTTGACCAGCGTCTGAGTCGTTTCAGACATCTGTCATCCAGGTGACTTAATAAAATTTGGATTCTGATTGGTGGGTCTGATGGAGCCAGGGATTCTACTTTTTTTTTTTTTTTTTTGGATAGGTTTGAGCATTGTCAAGATGCTGCTGACCAAAGAACCACAACCTGAATAGCAAAGACAGACCACTGCTTTCTGCTTCTGGCTACCAAGCATTTGTGCAAAAGGGAAAATAGACTTGAGACACGCACCAAAGAAAGTAAACTGCCATCAAGTGAAGCACCTGCTTTTCCTCTCTCACTTCTCTAGCTGCATTTCCTCACTGACAGGGGTTCTTTCTTTCACATATATCAGATGCATTTTAGCATCGTGCTTGTTACTGGGGAGAACATCTTACAAACCAAAGATTTCATCTTCCCTAAATCCCATTGTCATAATTTGTCTTTTCCACTTCCAATCTCCAGAAAAAAAAACATTGGTCTCC